TCTGTGTGTCTGTGTGTCTGTGTGTCTGTGTCTCTGTGTCTCTGTGTCCCTGTGTCTGTGTGTCTCTGTGTCTCTGTGTCTCTGTGTCTCTGTGTCTCTGTGTCTCTGTGTCTCTGTGTCTCTGTGTCTCTGTGTCTCTGTGTCTCTGTCTCTGTGTGTGTGTGTGTGTCTGTGTGTGTGTGTCTGTCTGTGTGTCTGTGTGTCTGCGTGTCTGCGTGTCTGCGTGTCTGCGTGTCTGCGTGTCTGTGTGTCTGTGTGTCTGTGTGTCTGTGTGTCTGTGTGTCTGTGTGTCTGTGTGTCTGTGTGTCTGTGTGTCTGTGTGTCTGTGTGTCTGTGTGTCTGTGTCTGGGTGTCTGGGTGTCTGCGTGTCTGCGTGTCTGCGTGTCTGCGTGTCTGTGTGTCTGTGTGTCTGTGTGTCTGTGTGTCTCTGTGTCTCTGTGTCTCTGTGTCTCTGTGTCTCTGTGTCTCTGTGTCTGTGTGTCTGTGTGTCTGTGTCTGGGTGTGTGTGTCTGTCTCTGTGTCTCTGTGTCTCTGTGTCTCTGTGTCTCTGTGTCTCTGTGTCTCTGTGTCTCTGTGTGTGTGGTCTGTGTGTGTCTGTGTGTGTCTGTGTGTGTCTGTGTGTGTCTGTGTGTGTCTGTGTGTGTCTGTGTGTGTCTGTGTGTGTCTGTGTGTGTCTGTGTGTGTCTGTGTGTGTCTGTGTGTGTGTCTGTGTGTGTGTCTGTGTGTGTCTGTGTGTGCGTGTGTGCGTGTGCCTGTGTGTGCCTGTGTGTGTCTGTGTGTGTCTGTGTGTGTCTGTGTGTGTCTGTGTGTGTCTGTGTGTGTCTGTGTGTGTCTGTGTGCGTCTGTGTGTGTGTCTGTGTGTGTCTGTGTGTGTCCGTCTGTGTGTCTCTGTGTGTCTCTGTGTGTCTTTGTGTGTCTCTGTGTGTCTCTGTCTGTCTCTGTCTGTCTCTGTGTGTCTCTGTGTGTCTCTGTGTGTCTCTGTGTCTCTGTGTCTGTGTGTCTGTGTGTCTGTGTGTCTGTGTGTCTGTGTGTCTGTGTGTCTGTGTGTCTGTGTGTCTGTGTGTCTGTCTGTGTGTGTCTGTGTGCCTGTGCGCCTGCGTGTCTCTCTGCGTGTCTCTCTGCGTGTCTCTGCGTGTCTCTGCGTGTGTCTGCGTGTCTGCGTGTCTGCGTGTCTGCGTGTCTGCGTGTCTGCGTGTCTGCGTGTCTGCGTGTCTGCGTGTCTCCGTGTCTCCGTGTCTCCGTGTCTCCGTGTCTCCGTGTCTCCGTGTCTGCGTGTCTGCGTGTCTGCGTGTCTGCGTGTCTGCGCGTCTGCGTGTCTGCGTGTCTCCGTGTCTCCGTGTCTCCGTGTCTCCGTGTCTCCGTGTCTCCGTGTCTGCGTGTCTGCGCGTCTGCGTGTCTGCGTGTCTGCGTGTCTGCGTGTCTGCGTGTCTGCGTGTCTGCGTGTCTGCGTGTCTGCGTGTCTGCGTGTCTGCGTGCCTGCGTGTCTACGTGTCTGCGTGTCTGCGTGTCTGCGTGTCTGCGTGTCTGCGTGTCTGCGTGTCTGCGTGTCTGCGTGTCTGCGTGTCTGCGTGTCTGCGTGTCTGCGCGTCTGCGTGTCCGCGTGTCCGCGTGTCCGCGTGTCCGCGTGTCTGCGTCTCTGCGTGTCTGCGTGTCTGTGTGTCCCTGTGCCTGTGTGTCTGTGTCTGTGTGTCTGTGTGTCTGCATGTTTGCGTGTCTGTGTGTCTGTGTGTCTGTGTGTCTGTGTGTCTGTGTGTCTGTGTGTCTGTGTGTTTGCGTGTCTGTGTGTGTGTCTGTGTGTGTGTGTGTCTGTCTGTGTGTGTGTGTCTGTGTGCCTGTGCGCCTGCGTGTCTCTCTGCGTGTCTCTGCGTGTCTCTGCGTGTCTCTGCGTGTCTGTGCGTGTCTCTGCGTGTCTCTGTGTGTCTCTGCGTGTCTCTGCGTGTCTCTGCGAGTCCCTGTGTGTCTCTGTGTGTCTCTGTGTGTCTCTGCGTGTCTCTGCGTGTCTCTGCGTGTCTCTGCGAGTCCCTGTGTGTCTCTGTGTGTCTCTGTGTGTCTCTGTGTGTCTCTGCGTGTCTCTGTGTGTCTCTGTGTGTCTCTGTGTGTGTCTCTGTGTGTCTCGGTGTGTCTCTGTGTGTCTCTGTGTCTGTGTGTCTCTGTGTCTCTGTGTCTGTCTGTCTCTGTGTCTCTGTGTCTGTGTGTCTGTGTGTCTGAGTGCGTGTGTCTGCGTGCGTCTGCGTGTCTGCGTGCGTCTGCGTCTGCGTGCGTCTGCGTGCGTCTGCGTGCGTCTGCGTGCGTCTGCGTGCGTCTGCGTGCGTCTGCGTGCGTCTGCGTGCGTCTGCGTGCGTCTGTGTTTGTGTGTGTGTGTGTCTGCGTGCTGCGTCTGCCTGCGTCTGCGTGCTGCGTCTGCATGCGTCTGCCTGCTGCGTCTGCGTGCGTCTGCGTGCTGCGTCTGCGTGCGTCTGCGTGCTGCGTCTGCGTGCGTCTGCGTGCTGCGTCTGCGTGCGTCTGCGTGCTGCGTCTGAGTGCGTCTGCGTGCGTCTGCGTGCTGCATCTGCGTGCGTCTGCGTGCTGCGTCTGCGTGCGTCTGCGTGCTGCGTCTGCGTGCGTCTGCGTGCGTCTGCGTGCTGCATCTGTGTGCGTCTGCGTGCTGCGTCTGCGTGCGTCTGCATGCTGCGTCTGCGTGCGTCCGGTGCTGCGTCTGCGTCCGTCCGCGTGCTGCGTGCGCCTGCGTGCTGCGGCTGCGTGCGTCTGCGCCCGTCTGCGTGCTGCGTGGGTCTGCGTGCTGCGTCTGCGCGCGTCTGCGTGCTGCGTCTGCGTGCGTCTGCGCGCTGCGTCTGCGTGCGTCTGCGCGCTGCGTCTGCGTGCTGCGTCTGCGTGCGTCTGCGCGCTGCGTCTGCGTGCTGCGTCTGTGTGCTGCGTCTGCGTGGTGCGTCTGTGTGCGTCTGCGTGGTGCGTCTGCGTGCGTCTGCGTAGGTCTGCGTGCGTCTGCGTGGTGCGTCTGCGCGCGTCTGCGTGCGTCTGCGCGCGTCTGCCTTGTGTGTCTGCGCGCGTCTGCGTGCTGCGTCTGCGCGCGTCTGCGTCTGCGCTCGTCTGCGTGCTTGCGTCTGCGCGCGTCTGCGCGTGTCTGCGCGCGTCTGCGCGCGTCTGCGCGCGACTGCGCGCGTCTGTGCGCGTCTGCGCGCGACTGCGGGCGTCTGCGCGCGCCTGCGCGCGTCTGCGGCCGTGTGCGGGCGTCTGCGTGCGTCTGCGTTTGTGTGTGTGTGTGTGTGTGCGTGTGGGGGTGTTTGTGTGTCAGTGTGTGTCAGTGTGTGTCAGTGTGTGTGTCAGTGTGTGTCAGTGTGTGTCAGTGTGTGTCAGTGTGTGTGTCAGTGTGTGTCAGTGTGTGTCAGTGTGTGTCAGTGTGTGTCAGTGTGTGTCAGTGTGTGTCTGTGTGTGTGTGTCAGTGTGTGTCAGTGTGTGTCTCTGTGTCTCTGTGTCTGTGTGTCTGTGTGTCCGTGTGTCTGTGTGTCTGTGTGTCTGTGTGTCTGTGTGTCTGTGTGTGTCAGTGTGTGTGTGTGTGTGTCAGTGTGTGTGTGTGTGTCAGTGTGTGTATGTGTGTGTGTGTGTCAGTGTGTGTGTGTGTGTCTGTGTGTGTGTGTGTCTGTGTGCCTGTGTGCCTGTGCGCCTGTGTGCCTGTGTCTGTGTGTTTGTGAATCAGTTTGTCTGTCTGTCTGTCTGTCTGTCTCTGTCTCTGTCTCTGTCTCTGTCTCTGTCTCTGTCTCTGTCTCTGTCTCTGTCTCTGTTTCTGTGTCTGTCTGTCTGTGTGTGTGTGTTTGTCTGTGTGCGTGCGAGTCGATTCGAGAGGACTGAGTTCCAGTATCAAAAGTTGACCACTACAAACCCGAAACTTCACAAACCCATTCAGTTGAAAGTCGCAGCTGCCAAACAATATGCTGCGAGTTGAGTGCCCCCACCCCTTCCTCCGATGCTTGCAAATTCCCAGAAGCAAGTGCTAAATGCCTAGCGATGAGAACATTGCCAAAAACATCATCCATAAAGCCTGCTCCTGCTTCGACCTTCCCACACGATGCGCTGGTACGCAGTGGAAGTAACCCCAAACATGCATCCTGCTGAAACAAGGTCCATGCACACATCATGTTCACTGGAGAAACCCGAGTGGGTCATGTAGGACAAGAGGCCGCCGTACCCAGTTGCAACAACCAGTGACCCTGAGAGAAAAAGCTGTCACCCTTGTTGAGGCTGATCACGTTTGATGAGAAACAAGTAGCCTGAATGGTATTTCAAGGGTGGAACCACCAATTCACTGCGTCTACCTATCATACCACCGCAGACGCCTTGCTGCACCACATGCAAGTCCGGCAACGGGGCCACCGGATCAAACGCCTGGTCGATGGTCACATGCCTCGGGGTGTCTAAAACGACACGAAGGCAGCTAAGTTCATACGGGGTGCCTTTGAGAGGGTGCCCATGTTTGACCAATTTGGGGAGACCCAAATTAGCTCAACATTGACAGGGCGTGATGCGGTGGCAGGTGGCTTATCCGTTTCCAACCGGCAGTGTGTCTTTCTTTCACAAGGATCATGTTCCTAGCATGGCTCCCCCGCAAAACCGTCAGGTCTGGCCAGCCCTTCCCCAGGTGTCTAAGTGCAAGCTTTCCAATTCGTTTCAAGCAAACGCCAGCGGTGAAATCACTTTAGCTTTACAAGGATGGGTTGGGCGCTTTGTGAAGGCCCTCTTCCAGCCCAAACCCCCAGAGCCACAAAACAGCTCAGAGAAAACTCTAGGGGATCAATCACGTTCCTGCCCGAATGCCTTTCTTTTAAACAATGACTAGCATCATTATGGGCACATGGGCGTATTTGCTGGGGCTATCAATCCAGGGGGTCCTCCTTTCTCGAGACACTGGAAGGCGTCACCCCCAAAAAGCGAAGAAGTACTGCTGCAACTTTTGGGGGTCAAAGTAAGTTTGGCTGAGCCAAATCCCTAATCTGCAAAAAAAAATGAAAGTTCGACATAGGAGACTGCAAGTGACGAGGCGCCCGGATGGGGTGGGCACCCACTCCACCTTCCGCAACAACTCCGCCAGCACCTGCCCAGAGCCCCTCCCACTGCGTTGACACCTCACTTGCCACAAACAGCCCAATACGATGCGCAAAAGACAAGACGCCCTTGGGCAACATCTACTAAAGTAGATTTAGATGATGGTTTTAGTCAGAGCAAATGGCACAAAACGGCGACCATTATCTAGAGCGCAAGCCCTGTAGAAATCATTGTATAAGAAATTGAGGTGCTGAGCTTGCCGATTTGTCGCCCAACTTCTTAGCAAACTTGTGCGATAAAGAGAGCATTGTTGACCATCAGGGAAGTGCCCGCTAAGAAATCCAGGGGCTGAATTTCTTAGCAGCCTTTTCGGGTGATGAAGGACTTGCCAAGAAATTCAGGGGCTTATCTTCTTAGCTGCCTGTTCGCGTGATGAAAGACTCCTTCCCTAAAAACTTCACAGGCTCAATTTCCCAGCCGCTTTTTCGGGTGATGAAAGACTCCTTTGCTAAGAAATTTAGGGGCTCAATTTCTCAATGGCCTTTTCGGGTGATGAGGGTCCTTCATCACCCGAAAAGGCCGCTAACAAAGGGTTGGGTTGGGGTGGTGTGGGGTGGGGTGGGGGATGCGGTGCGGTGCGGTGCGGTGGGGTGCAGTGGAGGAGGAAATGGTCATCTTTGTGTCGGCATGAGCAAGCCTTGAGTCAGGTGACCCTCCAGCCCTGCTCTTCACCGACGGCTGTGCAGCGGGGGTTGGTTCTCGCTTCAGGCTCCACTCATATGGCCATGGGTCAAAAGCCCGTACTCCCAGTGAACATCCCCACTAAAATAGACTGAAATGGGTGGTGCACCTACCCCAAAATGGCATTGGTTTTGACCCACAGCCACATGAATCCGTACCATGGCTATCCGGCTCAAGCCTGATGCAAACATACAGAGCTCTCCATCCATTGAGAGAAAACAGAACTCTACGCTTGCTGATGCGTGGTCATTGTGCACACACTCATTTGGCTGTAAACCAGACACTGTCGTACCTATTAGTCTCCGCCTATTCTGACTGTCAGGGAATAAGGGGGCGGGGATAAGCGCTGAGAAAGCGACAAAAAACCGACGTGTGCTGCCTTGAACTTGACCAGGGAAGAGAACAATGCGCAAAGCAGCTGTGGGGTGATCGCCCCAAAACAATTGAGGATTTTGAAATTGACTGAGTCCACCCAGGTGGCTATGCCCGTGGACTGCTGAAAACCTGTCAAACCAGAACATTGTTCAATCCCTATCTCTTGCAAGAAGAACCCAAATGGAAAGGAGGTATGCACCCAGGAAACGTATCGAACACCCTCAGCCCACCTGGCGGGAAGTGCGCATTGAACAAGGGAAATGCCTTTTGCAAGGTGCCACAATGCCTTCTCTGCCAAATATGTTCAGGAGTAGGGTTGGTGCCATCCTTAGGTTCTATATGAACGTGAATTCGGGTAGATGGAAACCCCTGCCTCAAGCTGAGTGGAATTGAAGCTCTTGCCAGCCCAGTGGAGCAAGGCCAGCAGGATCTGTGACAGTAGCTCCTACGAAGGGTGAGCCAACAGTGCTGAGTGTCGACATTGCTACTGGCCTGGGTCGACTGGCCGAAACATGCTCGCATGTATACAACAGCCCAAACTGGGGAGCACCCGAACGCCGGACCTCAAACCAATGCTTGTAGCCTCTCAAGTCTCTAGAGATTCCTTCTTCAACAGGCCCCTACGCCTCCCGACTGCTTGGCCCTTCATGCAAACAGGCAAGATAAGGAAGAGCCGCTCCTCCTCTTTTTGGCTGGTGAAAACAGGCCACAAAAGGGAGAGGGTCCCTTATTTGAAACACGCCCCAATGAAGATAAGCTCCGACATAAACAAGTTCAAAGAGAGGGCACTTTCATTGGGCAAAGGGTCCAAGAGCAACGTAAAACATACAAAGAACGAGAAAATCGCGAGCTCGGAGCAACGTACAAATGAACAACATAGCGTGCTAAATAAGGCCCACGCAGAAGGGAACTTGCGATAAACTGGATTCTACTTGGCCTCTTCTTTTTGGTTGGCGGCGTATGCGGATCTAATTCAGGCGAGCTAAGACCCAATCCGAGACTGATTTTCTCGTCTGCGAAGCTTCTCGGCATGTCTTCATGCCGGCCATATCACGGAAACGTTCTCAAACCTCGGCTTCTCCCACTGTTTCCTTCTGGTGAGCAGGAAATCGATCGTTTGTTCTGGTTCCCACTTTCCACAAGAAGCCAAAAATCAGAACATGCCAAACAGCACAAGACACAGGTGGCTCGAATGAAAGCGAAGCCAAGCCTCTCCAAGAAGCGAAACCTCCCCCAATTCTAGTTTCACTTGCACGGCCGCGGGAAACTCTCGCAGAGCCTGCGGCATTTCCTCTGAGCCGAGCCTGCGAAGCCCGCGCGCCATCTGAAAACCCAGAGGGATCGATATGGGATGGAAGACAGATCGTCAATTAGGAGCAAAGGTGTGTGGTTTCCCCTCCTTCCATACGAGTATCATGAGTGGAATCGTAGTCTTCTCCTTTGTGACCCACAATGCTTCCGCAGGTCTGGCAATATTTGCTTGCCTGAGTATCATTCCTTCGCCCGTTAAAGGAAGCAAACCTTTGGGCATGGCTTACGGGTGGTGTCCCCTGCCGCGCACGCACTTTGGCAAAAAAGGATTTCTACTTGGAAGCGAAGACGGTTGGTGGTGTCCCCCATGTTTCCCTGTGTATTGGGACTGGGGGAGCAACCGGGACTGGTGGGGAGCTTGGTTCAAAACCACGGCCTCGTGGTTTCAATCAACGCGAAGTACTCAACCCAGGGAGAAGAAACTGCGAAGCTTTTGGCGAGACCGATCCATGCGCACGTCCCCTAGATTCCTTCGCGCGCGAAAGCTATGCTGGCCTTTCCAAGCCCCTGAGCTATCAAGGTGATGACAAGGTCCAAATGATACCCATGTTCTGGATGGAGGACATGGGAGAGCGGCAATAGCTCAGGGTGCCAACCAGCAGAGGTCTTCCCTAAGATTTAATCTTGACTGGAGCCTGGCCCCAGGATGGCACGGCCTATGCACGCCTGCGGTCCACAACCCTTGCCGCCTGAGTATGTCTCGCACCGCATCGAGGCAATCAAACTTCTCGATGGCCTTGTAGTGGACCAGCAGCTCGACCACATGTTGCGGTGGATTTACCACCTTCCTAGAAGCTCAGCAGCAGTTTGCCGGGAAACCCGCCAAAAAGGTGTACACTGAAACAAAACACTGCCCAATTGAACATGTCTAGGTTGTCTCTCTGGACAATGATCACAGGCTGGACCACTGAAAAGCCAGAAGAGCCAAGGCAAGTGGAGCTAGCTTGCCCAGCCGCAGGCCCAAACACGCAGACTGGTTTGCCTCCTTGACGAAAAAGCAGAGGACTCAATCCGAAATGTTCTCATGGTTCACCCGCACAGCGAGTAAGGAAAACGGGGGCACAACAGGTCTGCATTGGTCTTTCCGCCAAGTCTGCCAAAGCGTCCTGCCAGCTTTCTCGCAGAGGTTCTGCAGATCAGCCCTCAGCCTCATTCCAAAAAACAGCAGGTAAAGCAGATCAACTGGTTGCGGACAAGTTTGAATTGGGCATACGCTTGTTAGAACCCTCCTTACAATCGTGGAAACTGAAACGTGGTGTGTGGAAAATGATAGTGCTTTGTTGGAGGGAGAGTCAGTCAGACGGGTGCCCTTTACCCCTCAAGTGGCCAGAATCACGTCATGGTTTTAGAGCTGGCATTGGGCAATAGGCACCTCAGCGCAATGTGTATGGGCGTGTATTTCTACACCAGCCCTCTGCTTTCTCTCGTTCCCCTTTGCTTTAGGTTCATTCTGGGTGGCAACCTTTCGCCATAGCGGTAAAGCGAGAGCGTTTCCAAATCCGGGCCCTGTCTCCACGAGGCTTCTACCGGAAACATCCCATCGCAGTCAAAGCAACTGCTCCAAGTGAGTTGTGTGCGTCTCCAGAAAGCACGCCTCCTGCGGCGCCACAGGCATTTTGGAACAGCCCGCGCTGCGCAGCACCAGGCGGTTTGCAAGCAAAGCCACCAGCTGCTTGTTCACAACCTGCCAATGAGCACATATCCCTACCAGGAAACACATTCCTTGCTCCTGCCATTCCAAAGGCAAATGTTATAGCACGATTTGACATGTACCAACAACGCAGGCTGGGAACACCAGTTTTGCCTCAAGACCATGAAACACCAAGAGCAAAGAGCAAGACGAGTGTCTCTGTACAGGGTTTCTGTGCTTGTGGCTGCTCCTCTGCCCTGGAATGGAACCGGCCAAGCAATTCCTTTGTTGATTTAAAATCCCACTTCCTCAAATTGGCACCAGGGTGGAGTCTGCCTGCAAGTGGGGAAGCATCCCTACATGCGTCCTTTGAGGAAGACATAAATAAAGTTTAAAGACATGCTAACACTGTTGACACCGCTAACACGGCTAACCTGCCGACATACTTTTTCGCCTGCCGCAAGCGAAGTGAAGGACGGCGCAGGCCCGTCGGCCTGAAAGCCGTCCTTCTCAGCTTCCAACCGAGGCCACAGGCCAAAGACATCGGCGTCAGCCTCAGCTTTTGGAGTTCCTCAGGGAGCCGTATAGGCCCCCCCCACCTTTATGACCGTTCAGGGGTTCCGTGATTGGCCAAAAGATGTGCCTGGGAACCCCAACATGCCAAAAATCAAACATGCAACTCAAATGGCGTTCCGGCGTTCCACCCAGCAAACAAGTTCCCTTTGATAGGGAACACCTTTCAGGAACCCATGCAACATGCTGATGTCTGGGACAGAAAATGGGGAATGCTGGTCGACCAACTGCAACTTTGATGGAAGCCCAAACGCATTAGAGGAGCATCCGGTTGTGATGTACCCCCCTTGCCTCCACTTTCTTGCAAACCCTTCCAGAAAACCCTGAGTCCGCAGGGAGCATGACGAGTTGTTGCCCAAGCCAACTTCGCCATCAAACCCGAAAGCGAAACCCTGGAACCAGGTCAAGAGCAACTTCTGTCCAGCTGCCATCACTTCATGTTGCGCCAGGTACGTCAAGGCATCGGCGTACACTTCCGGCACCACCTGCCCGATACGCTGCTCGGGGTTGTCTGCCAATGTCTTCAGGTTTGTTGCAGGGAGGCCTGTTGCATGCCACTCTGTTCTTGAAAGTTGGCCAAAGGACCTGGCTCACAGAGGGCAATCTGGGTCAAAGTGCACCTCCAAATCGGCCCACAATCTGGACATGTGAGTCACAAGATGGAGCCCGAGACTGGCCACGCAGGATGATGCGGGTGGCCGCCTCCCTTCAGGCACTATGGTGATGCTCCAAGTTGGAGTTTCAGCCGCCCCCCTATGTCTCGTCCCCCACAGAGCCTTGCCAATGATGTGCTCGTTCCAGTCCGCCCAGGAACGGTGACTGCCATCTGTGTCCTCCGCATGCCTCCACATGCCGCGGCGGTTGTCTTCCAAAGCAAAGCCCGCGTGTACGTGCACGGGCAGTCCTGGCCAATGGGAAATAGGGGGAAACATGCTTCTCCCTCCAATCAACAAAAACACATGTAAGTGGGCATATGGTCACATCAAGAAAATCACAAGATGCATCGCTCAAAAGGCTATGTCATAGACTAGAGCTGGGTCATCCCTCTTTCCTGATTGACAATAGCCATTGCCTGCCCTGCACATTTCACAGGGCTAAGGTATACCAGACAATACCTTACTGATGTGTTGCAATGCCAGCGGTTCACGCAAAATCCCAGTGAGACAATCAAGTTTTCAAGTATACATAGAACAATTGAAAAGGTCAACCTGCGGGGGGCTGTGATGAATGAGTCTAAGTGCACTGGCCTCGTAATCTTCAATAGTGCACGAAGGAAACTCTCTTGCACGCAAAAGGGCAAGACAACGCTAGATGTATCGGCAATACCTACTGCGAAAAGCGCCTTCCCACTTTCAACATTACTGGGGGTAAGCTTGCTTTGGGTAGCCGCTTCATCCAATTCAACAGGATGCTTCGATATGCACGAGTTCTGGGGCCCAGAAATATCCTTGGTTCCACTTTTCTTTTGCCAAAACACTGCTGGACGGACGCAGCCGGCACTGAGCTGTAACTCTGGCATGGCCATCTCCATGAAAGAACAACGAAGGACAATTAACAGCCAAGTGCTCGCAAATTGCGGCAAGTGTACAATCTCTCGAGAGGGTGCTACAAGAGTAAGATTCTCTTGTAGCTCACAACGGATTCATGACATTTCCTTGGGAGGCCGTAGAGCGGTAAAGTTTGCTAGGCCCAGAGAACCAGTCGCAATCCAGGAGGGCAATCTGGTCCTCCTCGAAAAATCGAGAAACCTGAGATTAAGTACACCTTCAGGGCTGCTGCAAAACCTCACCACAGCCAAACTCGAACAACGAGGAAGATATGAGGTCCCTGCAGCTGATGCCTCAATATCGAAACACAGCAATGGAACCCCCTTGTTTTCCACAGAATCTTGACCATGTTAATCAACCCCTCTTTTTATTAATACCAGGTGGTGTCCCTCTAGTGATTTTGATTCCCCACTAAACCGAGGGAGAAGAAGCACCCCTTATCAATCAACTGGTTGGTTGAGATTGTCCGGGGTCAACATTACTCCATGGCTTTGGGTTGGAATCCCATGGAGCCCCATGGGATTACCACTCCTCATGGCTTCGGTGCGACTTCGGGTCCTGTCTTTATGGAGAGCGGCAGGTGCGCAAAGGCCAAGCCCTCGCAGGGCCCGTCCAGCGGAAGCGCCAGGCCTGGGCGGCGAATGAACTAAAGAGGTGGTTCTAAGGAGCAGTTATCAAACAAAAAATGAATAAATAAATATATGTATGTATATACATGAATAAATAGATTAAACATATGTGTGTGTATATATATATATATATACAAAAAACAGAAACTGTTTTGTTGTTTCCATGGGGGGGTGATGACCAAACAGGGCATTGCTGCCCGAGGGAGAGTACCGCCGAAGCACATACGAAGGGCACCTCCTCCGGCGGAGACGACACCTCCTCGAGGCTGAAGAAGCGCCCGAAGCGCAGCCAGCGCGAAGAGCTGCCTCCTACCTGAGAACCGCCGCGAATACAAAAAACCGACCGACCCAACCAACCCAACTGCAGTTCAATCCAAGCCATCTCAGTCTTTTTCAATGCCCTCCGCCTCTGCAAGAGTTTTAGGGCAGCCCCACCAAAACCATGTGCGGGCCGCGCGGGGAACTTCAGAACCGCACACAACGACCAACGGCTCAGAACACAGCCGGCCGGCGGAAGCGACCGACTCCGCCCGCCTCGGACTCCTTCGTCCGGCCGCTTGCCTTCGCCTCCTTGACCTCCTTCTTCGCCCTCTCCACCTCCTTCTTCGCCCTCTCCACCTTCCTCTCCGCCTTCTCCACCTCCTCCTTGGCCTCCTTGACCTCCTCCTTGGCCTCCTTGACCTCCTCCTGTGCCCAAATTCAAGGGCCAACCATCCGCTACCTATGAAAAAAGGAAGGCAACAAGTTCGGCCGCCAAAACAATGCTCCTTCAAGAGGTGGTGGAACATGAGGTTTGCAGTTAGAATAGGATCGCAAATTGGGAATGTTTGTGAACTTTAAAATTCCGCCCGCCTTCAACTATTGCCATGTAACTTCCGAGAAGTGCACCTGGTGCTTACCCAGGTGTGATATAATCAAAACCCGGTATTAAAAACGGTCTACCCAGAACCATGTCAAGAAATAAGAAGGCGCCCGAAGCTATTTATGGTTGCATCTACCCGGGTTTTGCTTGTGGCTCAGGTGTGTTTGAGAAAGGAAAAGCTGCTGGCCGCCCTCTCCACTCGAGGCTTCTTCTGAATCAAGGGTCCTCGAAGTCTTGGCCCTTGTCGTCCGTGGGGCTGGTGATCTGCAAAGCACTCTCAAAGCGAACATCTCGTTGAAATCAAAAGAGCTTGTCGTCTCAAGTGGTCAGCCAGGGTCTTCTATTGGTTTCTGGTCCAAAAGCCAAAACCTCAGCTTCAGCAGAAGCAAGCTACTTGCAGAGTGCGCGTGTAGAACGGCTTGACAAAGCCAAGCAATACCCTTGTCCACACATAAACAAGCGAGCAAGCAGGCAAGCACGCACGCCGCATGCACCCAAGCAAGCAAGCAGGCAAAGAACGCAAAAGAAGCAAAAAAAGCCAGGCAAGCCTGGAGGTTGAATGGCCAAGCCAGCAAGCAGCCAACAAAACCAGCCAAGCAGCTAAGCCAGCTAGCCAACGAGCCAGCCAGCCAACCAGAAAGCAAGCAAGCGAGCAAGAAAGCCCGCAAGCGAGCAAGAAAGCCCGCAAGCGAATGAGGCCATGCCAGCGTTGCAAGTACTCTAAGAAAAACACAAATCCAGCCCCGCAGGAGCGGTCAAAACACGCGCCACCCCTCAATGAGACAGAATATTCTCCATGGCAGCAATTCGCAAAGTGCAAGCAACACTAGGCACCGACCGAAACAGGAGATATGAAAACTTGCCAGCCTTCTCCATCCGCACTATGTCCAACACTTCAGGCGTAGGTGTTCCCTGCCGTAGCTGTTCCTGCAACACAGAGCATCTTGCATTGCGCATGCTTTGTCAAGGAGAACACACGCTGAACGCTCATGCGCTCAGCAAGGTGGCCATGCTTCTACTAACTTCTAATCATTTCCCGAGTCGCCTGGAGCTGCTCTACGGTCTCGAACTTCTTCAGAAACTCCTGCAACAGTCACAAACACACGTCCAAATGTCTCGTCCCAACCAGGCTGACCCTAAAACCGGTCCAAAAAAAAAACCTAGAGCCATGGTGGTGGCGGTGCTGCGCCTTTCATACAGCCGACGCCGCAAGGTGCGCCATCGCCGCCGTCCTTCACCTTCACCAACTCCTTCCCGGGCAGCGCCGGCTCCGGCCGCAGCTCCAGGCTGGCCACGCGGAGGAGTTTCTCCTTGCGGACGAAGAGCTCCAGCCGCGAGACGCGGCAGAGGAACAGGGCCATGGGACCGCTGAAGGCCTTCGCAAAGTCCTCCCCCCCCCCTCCGCTCCCCCCCGCTCCCCCCCACCAAGGACGAGATGGGTATGGCTCCAAAAGCGGGTACCAAAATATACCCAACATGGCGCCTTTGGTAAATGGAACCAAAGACTACAGCCTACGTAACTCTAGTTCTTTAACTGTGAGCCACACCCATATTCCAGTCGTTCCAAAACCATTTCGCTCACATTGGGGTCCTGTTTGGCACGCTCGTTCAAAACCTTGGCGTTTCGATGTTAATATGATGTTTAGTGGACACAAAGTTGCATGTGAGCCCTGGACCAAATTACTTCTCCCCCGCTGGTACCAAACATTTGTCTGTGAGGATAGTTTCCCTTTCTGCGGTGCCAACTCACTTTGCCACCTAGGAGAACCGCTTGGTATCACACAAAAGCCTCCAATTTCTTGTCCACAACCATGATGCTCACCATGCCTTCCTGCCACCCGCCGCCCAAAAAGGAACAAGGTACATCCACCCAACCACACGCGGCACAGACACAAACTACAACCCGTTCATGACGTGAGGCCTTCTGAATTTGGCTTACATCCCAGGCTTTTCTAACGATGCACCACCCCTCACCTGAGACTTTTCAGCTCAACAGAAGGACTGACAACCAAAGCCATGCACTGGCCGGATGGTGGTGTCACTTGCCTCATATAGCTGGGTCCTATTCCTGGATACTGCGCACAACGCGTTCTTCCCAAAGACTCTAGCCAAGCGCAGTTCTGGGGACGAGCCCAGAAGTTTCCAATGCTTCCTCGCGACAATGCTACTCAAGTCCTGGCCCTCTGGGAAATACACAATAACAGGTAAAAGGTAGGCATTGGACAACGGAGCCAAAGCAACACTGGCAGTCCTCAAAAATATGCGACGCTCTTTCCAGCGTGAAGGCTTCAGGCATGAAACTTGACTCGGCCGCCCACTGCTGCGCCCTCAGTGGCACCTCAGGTGGCTTTGAGTACGGTCGCGCTTCAGAAACTGACCATCATTCCAAAGTGAACTCTTCCTACGAATGCTATGGACACAAAGGAAAATTACAAGAAAATTAAATCAAATTTAGTTTTGCCACAGCAAGTGCTTGGAGGAATTCCATAACAAGGGCGATTGCTGGCAGCGCTTTGAATCGGGAAAGATCATGCACCTCAGGCAGACAAATGCAATCAGTTCAGAGCTTTTGAGGCAAACTCGAAAGTTCCACTTGAAGTCAGGAATACCTATACAAGGCTGCAAGGGCCCTCTGCAGAGGTGCATGGCCTGGTTGCCATGTTCCAAATTCGTTTAGGAATGAAGTCTTGCTCTTTGGACTTAGGCTAAGCCAGCAACAATCTTCCGGCCCAGCTGGATAGAAATCCGCCTGACACTTGCCCATCAAAGGTGCCAAGGGAACAAATCTGAGCATGGCTTCCACTGTTCCTGACATAACGCGATTCCCGTTGCTGGAACCATGGGAGGTGGAATCGGTCTTAACCCCCGATCCGTGAGGTGGACCAAGAAATGTGGCAGTGGGTCAAAAATATGTACCTAAAATGGGAACCCCTGTAAATGGAACCATGGACTAAAACCTGCGGTCCATATCCTGGTGGCTTCATTTTGACCCACGGCCATGTCAGTTCCGTCACATCCGAGGCGCGCGGATGATCGTGCCATTCAAGGCTTCTTGCATGGTGTGGCCGAGGCCATGGAAGGGAGAGCACTCGTCTGGGAAGGCGTCCACAAAACGCTGACCGTCGAAAGTGTCCGCGAGAAAGTCCAACTTTTCTCCATACCTTTGAAAGCACACCGGCCAAAACGAGTGATGCAAAATTGAATCTGATGTTCTTGAGATCATTCGATCATTCTGAGTAAAGGCGAGCTACTCACCGTTTTCGGAGAGCCGCTCGTCTGGATCCAGAATGGCATACTTGCTGCCCGAAACAATCTGGAGGATGTCACCAATGTGGAAGAAACTCCTGGACAAGGGGTCTGTGTAAAACCAGTGTTTAGAAGGAAAAGCCTCCTGAACAAAGGGTAGAGGTCCAACAGGAAAGCGACCCACAACACATAGCCCGAATATCGTGGCTAAATCTCCGTGGCGAGGGGTTTTTCAAGGGACGTGCCATGCGAAGGGAGTTGGTTTTGGTTGGTGCTTCATGTTCACCCCTATCGAAGCAGCAGGGTTGAACAACCACCTCTTGAAGCATATCGAAACCCACTAGTGCTTGAACATCCTCATTTAGGTTTGAGCGCCCCCATGGTTGTTTTGCTCAAGGCCCTCACTCCTGGATCCCATGCCGTACTTGCCCACCTCACTGGGGCTGTGTTTCTTTGAGCTGTTGTAGATCTGCTGCAAACTCTTCCAATCCTGGCTTCTTCGAGACAGCACGTGCGATCGGGCTAGGGGGCCACGCCCTTTCGATTTCAGGCTAGCGGTCACTCAGGCGGTGACCATGGTTTAAGCAGAATCAGCCCTCCAAAAACCTAGAACGGGAGAATGGCCCGACTCAGCTTCTGCGCATTGCCTCCGAATAAAAAGGGTTGCCTGAAACTCGTGATCCACCAAAGTGCTTCCAGAATTGCCCGATGGCTCCGAACAAAACTAAGCTTTGAGCTCTGGTAAGGAACCAAATTTGTTAGCCTACTGCACAAACGGAAAACAGGATTGTGGCTGCCCCTCAACCACTCCAAAATGAGACATGAGGTGGTTGAGAAGTGGTATTTGGGAGTAGAAAGACACCGTTTGCATTCTGCTCAGTTCCGATCTCCTCGCATAATCCAACCACCATGCAAGTCTCACCCTAACAAGCCATTCCAGCTGGGTCCTTTCCAGAATCGCCCCACCAACATGCAGCAAGATCCTGGTGGCCTGTGCAGGGTTCAATTAAACAGAATCGGAATGCTCACCTCAGCCAATTCCCCGAAATTCAGGGGATGATTGTTCAAGCTACCCCAATTTAGAAACTCTAAGGGGCAAACTGGTGATAGCAAAAATGATTTAACCAAGACATAGGAACCTCTGAAGGTGCAACCCTCAACGGCGCGTCGTTTGAATGCCCAATTGAGCTTCTTACATAGCTCTCCCCTGATTGTTGGGTACTCTGGCACGGTTCTTACAACAAGTTCCGACCGCCTACCTTCCTCGAGAAAATCCCGTGAAGGGTAACGCTTCAGGGGAAACAACTTACATCGCGCCAGGGCACTTTATCGCGAAAGCCGCCGTTATCATAGAACAAAATGGCAGGACCTTGAAGACGCCGCCGCCACACACTCTGCTGCGGCCGGATCTGTTCGATAGGATGCGTTGACAGGTCCTTGGAGCGGCGTTTCGTGGCAGCGAGGAATACTTTAGCATTCATACAAAGATCACTTACTGACGCCAGCCACACAATCTATGGACCAGCCGACCAGGGGATATGTGACACTGTTATATACACACTCCTGAGCAGCGCAAACAGAGGGCTCGTGACGCTTGCGTTTGAAGCAAATGATTGGTACTGTCGTCAGTGTTGGAGGCTTTGAGAGGAGGGTCGTGTTCCAAAAGGTGTTGCAAAGATCCCGAGCTTTCGACCCACAACGCGCCCCGCGTTCCGCTGATGTAGCGCTCACTCGGGCGTCTCCACAAGTACTTTTAAACTCGAAGCATGCCATTGCAACAATGGGGTGAAGATTTGGTGCTTCAAGGCAGCACGTAGTGTCTGCGTTGCTCTGGAGCGCTCCATTGCCCTCTCTGTAATCTGTAAGATTCTTGAGCAGTGCCATCACTACACGTTGTCCACTCCAAAGCAATCTTCCAGCGCACCAGGGCCCGTCTATTCACAGCTGAAACAAAAGCAACCCACTCTAGGAAACTCATGAAACACCATCAACAATGTTCGAGGAAACCCGCAGCGCCCCCCAGCTATCCGAAGCTCCAGGAGAGCGCAAAAGTGGGTGGCCCTGTCTGTGTCCTCCGCATTCTGTAGGGCCTCCAAAAAGAATTGGCCGCCGCTGGGGTAATGCCGCAGCAAATTCTGCAGGGTTGCACCTGGGTCAAGCTGCCCCACGTTTTGATTTACACCCTTCAGCCTTTGCTCCTTCCTTGGTCCTTTGCGTTGCACAAGCGCAACGGTTTAGACGGGTGTAAGCCTTTGGTAAGAGCCTGCCAATGGATACCTGACACTTGCCTTGATAGCACAGCGGAGCAGAATCAAGGCAGCAAATGGACATGCTCTAGGTTGAACCAACAAGTCATGGGGCCCTGCCGAGCACACTATGTAGTTTCTCGTATCGCGGCACTTACCATAAACTACCGCAGATTTTGATGGACACTTTAAGAATTTCGCATGCTGCAAGCCCGGCACCTACCAACAAAACGACTTGTCCACGGCAATTGGGCTGGCCCTGAAATACAAACTCCCATTTTCCTCCAGCAACAATCAGAAATAGAGATGTTGACTCCCAGATTTTTTTAGACTACTGGGTAGGCTTAGCTTCTTGGGCAAAGCCCCCTCGATGGCAAAGGCTGGTTTCCTCCAGGCGGCCACTCTAGCTCTGGTGACAACATAAACCCACCGTTCCCCAACCGAAACATGCAATCAGCAGGATCGTTTACGGCCGTCCCGGGTGACAGGGTTGGGCCTGGTTTGGACCACTCAACTTATCCCGGATTCTGTCTGACCCCAGTTGGCTCCAGCTGGCTGCGGGAAACAGGACACTCCTTTTGTGCCTTTTTGCGGAGGGGTCGGAGTACATTGGGGCCAAGGCATCCGACACAAACTCAAAGTGTTGATGCACTCCCGATTAAGAACCAAATTCTCCGTGAAAGCCGTTCTTCATGTGTCCAGTTTAGCCCGAATAAACTCCATGGGCTTCGGGTGTGCATGGCAAGTATCAAGGGTTGCACACCTGTTCCTGCCTTTTGCCTCTCAGAACCTTAGAATGCCACGACTCCGGCTGCATGAAACACAAAGAGAACGCACCCAACCAAATCCAAACACTTTCGCAGGCTCTTTCCACCCAAAGCTTGCTGTTTCTGCCACAAACAAAATTGTTCTGGACATCTGCCCCCCTCCCCCACCCCCCTGATTCTCCTCTGATAAAATGGGGTATGCCAACAGGAGCAGAGCACCCCCCCCCCCTCCCACATTGTGAATTGCCCATCCCTTCGTTGCCAAGGACATGCTTGCAGTGTCTGTATGCAAAATCAGTTTTTGGGGCTCAGCTCCTACTGCATGCCCCACGCGGCCAAGATGGCACAACAAGCTGAAGCATGCACAAGTTGTAGCAAAGCTTCTTGGGCCAGCACATATTAGCGGGGTCATGTCAGTTGGTTGAACAGCCTTTGTCTTTGTAACAAGCTACCTACGACAAATCATGGACCCCCAACAAGGTCGGGGTGGCTATGGGGAGGGGGGGGTATCCCTCATTAAGCCCTTAATAAGGCCTTATGTTTATCCTTGAGTTATCCTGGGCTTATCCAGAGATAGCCCCCCGCCCCCCAAAACCCCCCGAAGATTCCAATGGGTTCAATGTCATAGCCGGGCAAAAAGCACAAGACAAATCAATCAGGTCCCTCCCTGGCATTCATCACAGGCGCTTGGAGAGATCTTCATCCCAAAAGGAACCTGGCACGGGCGAGGAAGACAATCATAACACGGTTTTGCGCCATGTTTTTCTACTGCTCTGCATTTGCTGTAGGGGCTTCGGGCTTCGGACATTGGATCTTTGGCGCAAACAACTCACTGATATTGCTTTCGGTGCACACTACTCCTGTGGGGGTCTCATCTGAGCATGCTGGCAATGATATGCAATGATGACATGGAGGAGCCAGTGTGGACACAAATGGAAGAAGCTCTGAAAGTGCATGGTTTGGCCGGCGAAAAAAATGATTGAGAAACATCTGACTGAATCGACCCACATTGAAAGTGTGCTTGGGCCCCAGTCATGAGTGTGCTAGAAACTCTGTAATTCCTTAGTTGCAATGCAAACTTACCTCTGTAGCAGTTGAGCGTGAGCATCTTGGCCACCAGAACGGCGACAAACGAAGTTGGACCGCCAGAACTGGAAGACTGGACAGAACGTAGTTTTAGGCAGCAATGAGGAGCTTCCTGCTGATATGGGAAATCACGGCCCTCTGGGACATGGCAAATGCTGGGGTGAAATGAACCTGCAGAAGCCACCTGGCTGCTTCCCGATCAAGTCCACTGGCCCTCCAGCCAGGGATTTCACGAAAACGAGCCCAAGCTGTCCCTGCATAACATTTGCCCAAACGCTAACATGCGGGCGCCTTCTTTTGGTCAGCCAAATCTGAGATCCTTTTTTTCAGGCCCCACCATCTTATCATGTAGGCAGCACGTGCTTGCTTTCTGTTCGCTCCGAAATGCACTGAAGAAGCCGCTGGTATACCCAAAAAAACAAAAGCTTATCAGAATCCCTGGCAATTACCTCAGGAGCAATGTGCCATGTTTGGGTTCCAGGGAAAGCTCGACTTGGTCACCATTTGGTTTGCAGGCAGATTTTGCAGTGTGCGCCCCGAATGATGCAAAATCACGAACGAGATGAGTCGTATGAGCATGTTTTTTGCAAGTGCATGTTTCTGTGGGATCCTATACACAGATTGTATTCATAGACATTTCATGGATCTACGTCTGGCCTGTTGACTCCTTCATGACCCTCCTGCACATGGCCAAACTCAATCCAGGAGCGTTCTTTGCATTGGTGCTACCGTCGACGTCTGCACCAGGCATGCCGGTGGTTTGGCCAAGCAAGCCGCTTTGCCTGAAGCTAAGACCCAGCAAAGCAGCTGCGGGTCCAAAGTTTCAACCAACCAATGGATGAAACCATCCATTGCTAAATTCTCCCGGAAAGAATACATGTTTTTCGAATAGTGATAGACACCCTTCACAGCCAAAAAGGGAGAACACATCTTCTTAAGCAAATCATGAAACCCAATTGCAATAAGTTGAATCCCCGACCAAAACGTTTAAGCCAGGTTTAGCAGGTTTGTGTTTGGAATTGGCGCCAACATTGTATCCTAGGCCAGCACATCTGGTGGCGAATCTTGTTTACAACGCATCTGCTTGTTCAACAGTGTGTACCCCGGCTGACCTTTTGACGTGCCCCGACCTTGGTCCCCTTTGAGCTGTCCGCACGCAACGGGAACTCCAGAATCTCCGAGCCGGACGACGGGCGGCCCGCAATACAAGCATTCCGACAATCATTGGGCCGCACGAGCAGATGTGTACAGTCCGAGTGGGCGGTGGTAGATGAGCGAAACGCTTGGGCACTGGCAAGAAGTTGCTGCCAGATGCCGCCTTTGGCCTGCGCGAATAGCAACCACCCGTCGGCGACAGTGTTGGCCATGCGCCAGGGAGAGCCATGGCAGGAAAGCAAAACGGAAACCTTGAGAACTGAACATGTCGCCTGCGACAAAAGGCGCCAACTGCGTGGCTGGTCCCCGTGATGCGTCACCGCCTTTACTTGCATGTCAAACAATGCTTTCCTGTTTTCGGTCTCTTTGGCTTTATGGGTGCGCACAGGTGCGGGACAAGGTCTGGGCTCTTGTTTTGCAGCAAAGGTTCCGGTCAGAATTGCCCCCTGTTAATCCTGGGCCACAGAATTGCCTCCGTAAATTCTGCGCGGGCTCTCTCTTTACCTTTTTAGAGGGATTCTCCAAACGGGTTTTAACGCACCTATGGGGTTTCTCACACTTGTCCGTCCAAACCAACCCAGCCAAGCCAACTAGAAGCCAGCCAGAAGCCAACCAGAAGCCAACGAGAAGCCAGTCAGAAGCTAGAAGCCAAGCAGAAGCCAGAAAGCCAACCAATGGAGCCGTCAGTTGCTGCTATGCGGGCGCCGATGCAGCATCCACAGATTGCGGAACGGAAGCAGCAGCCAGCTCTTCCTTGCTGATCGTGGCAATTTAGCCAAACGTCAAGGCCATCCTTTTGGACAGAGTGTGTTTTGGTCATCCTCTTTGTTAAGGCATGTTGCACTGCTTCTAGCTTAAACCCAAACAAAACCACCCAAGAACAATGCAAGTCCGAAGCGGCCGCAGTTCTTTTTAGATTGCTAAAAGTAGCACTGCTTCCAGGGCACGGGGCGCCTGGAGCAGGAAGTGCGTTGACCCCCATAAAACTACACACCAAAACAATGCGTGTCCTTGCAAATGCATGCAGTGCGTGCATGGCGTGGCAAGCGTGCCCACGCCCAACCAGCAGACTGGAGTCTGTGGTCAGAAAAGGGCAAGCTGCGGCTCTGCTCAAACCTGCACGATCTGTTGTCCGGAGACCACAAGCGGTCCGGAGACCCAGTGGTCCGGAGACCCAGTGGTCCGGAGACCGTAAGCTGTCCGGAGACCAAGTGGTCCAAGACCATCATCGGAAGTGCAGAGCGTCTGCAACTTCTCTTTTGCAGAGTCTTGTATAAGGCAGTGCAGGGTGGGTGGGTGGGCTTTAAATAAAACAGCAAGTTTGGGTCAAGGCTGAAAAGAGGGGGGTCCCCCAAGAAGGCCACAGGGGGTGAGGGCAGGCAAGCGCCCCGCCCGAACCCCGACTGAAAGGTAAGCCACATGGTGTGGCAGGCGTAGCCACTCACTCGTCCAACCTGGGTGGGTGGGTGGGAAAAAATCTAAGGCCCTGAAATTGGAAGGAAAGGAAAGGTTTGAGCCTCAAGCTGCAACTCAACAGTTAAGGGCACCAGTATAACGCCGCGAGTGCAAGCACTAGCAATCCTTATACCTGGTGCCCTTAAGCAGCTTGAGTCTCTCAACAATACTTGACAAGGGAACCTTGAGCGCAAGCACTCCTTTTCAGCACACGGGGTAGAGCATCAAAGGTAAGGAAAGGTCCTTCTCAGAAAGGGGGGACCCCAAAAGGAGAAAAGGGTTCACACCCGAAAAGAGGGGGGTCCCCCAAGAAGGCCACAGGGGGTGAGGGCAGGCAAGCGCCCCATGTCGAGAACTCGCACGCACCCCCTGTAAACTGAGTGCTCGACCGTGTGTAGTGACCTGAGGACGGAAACGGCAAACGAATACGTGTGAAGAAAGGCATGAAAGGGCAATATGTGCACTTCATGCGTAGGGAAAGAAACGGTACAAGAGCAAGCAAATTTTACAGCTGCAGCTCGCTCCATAGACTGTTCCAAATGCTTGGTGTAACGTGGGACTTCTGGGATCGAAAGAAAAGTAACTGAGTTTCATCGCCTCGACTGGGGGCGTCGGCAACATTCACCTCGGTAGGGACCCGGTGGATCCATGTATCGAAGGTCATCCGTTGCTCAAGGCGTAGGAAGTGTTGGACAAGCTGGTCGGCCGCATGGTTGTCGCAGGACATGCGAATGAGAGAATGAAGTGCAGCTTCGTTGTCCACATGAAAGAAAATTGCCGTGCCTGAGAGCAGGTCTGGCCAGAGCTGAAGTGCCACCAAAATGGGAAGGATCTCGAGGTGCAAAATGCAGTGAGATCCAAAGGTCGCAAGAACTGCAAGAGCCGGGGGCTCAAAAGAAAAGTGAAAGCGGGGTTGCCCAAAGAAGTCCACGAGGACGCCTCCTATGGAGGGCTTGGAAGCCTCTAAGGCACCATCTGTGAAAAGATGCCAAACGAGGCGGTTAGAATCTTGATCACTGCTTCAAGCCTACAGGGACATGCAGGGAAAAAAGCATCCGACCGAAGCAAACTCGACACGCGCTTTTTTACTTGAGCGTTGCTTAGAAGTGCAGGCCCTGAGATGCAGGTGGAGTGACGATGCGCGTCCACTCCATCTTCCTGCATCTCATGCGGAGCCTGTCGGAATGCCCCCTGTGGTCAACATTGCGTGTTCGACCATCACACAGGGTGTTTTACCCATGGGGTGTGAGACAAATAGGAGGTATTTTGCACATCGGTATGCAATGCGTGCATAGGTATGCATGGGAGGAGTGCGTCCTCCTGAAGGGGACCAGGCTGGTCCGACAGAATGCCGATGGCATTCAGCGATGTGCGACTGCGCGCACAGCATGGGTTCAAACTGGTGTGGCCAACGAGGAATGCGTCCTCACTGCATAGGCTTAAACTGGTCCTGCGGGATCAGTAAGCCGACAACATGCTTGAAGTGTGCAAAAGCTGGCTGGACAGAATGCTCAGCACACTGGTCCTGCGGGAGCAGCGAGAAGCCAACAAATGTTGGAAGCTAACAAGCGTCCATTCGTGCGTGCGCATGCGCCCCTCAATCAGGCCTTGTGGAAGCTGGTTTCCACCTGGGCCGTGAAAGGGTGGGAGGGTGGGTTCAAAAAAGAACGAAAGAGGGGTCAAACCCTCAAGGCATGTCCCTTACCAAAAGGCTTGAAGCAGAAATGGCCACGCGGCCGAAGATTCAACCAAGATTAAAACACAGGGGAAAAGACAAACCCCTAGCGTTAGAATCTTGGTCACTGCTTCAAGCCTAAAGGGACATGCAAGGAAAAAAGCAACCGACCGGAGCAAACTCGACACGCGCTTTTTTACTTGAGCGTTGCTTAGAAGTGCAGGCTCTGAGATGCAGGTGGAGTGACGATGCGCGTCCACTCCATCTTCCTGCATCTCATGCGGAGCCTGTCGGAATGCCCCCACTTTAGAGTTCTAAGCAAACGGTCAAATCACCTCACCCCCTCTTTAGTGCGTTTGCGATGCAGCCACGTGCTCGGGTCTCCACGGTGCGTCCGCAGGGTGAAGCGTGAGAGCTGATGCGTGAGGCCAGAAGTCATGCGGTTTAAAGCGCACTCTGGCATATGGTCGAATGCGGAGGTATTACCTCTGCTAAGCTGGTCCGCCCAGATGTTGTGCTCTCCTGGGATGTGTGACGCGATCACGGACCATTTGTGCTTATGGGCCCAGGCGGCTACAAGTTGCACAAAGACTTGTAAAGGCCAAGCAGTGGTGAACAATTTATTAACACCTGCCTCGGAAGCTGTGTTATCTGTCCCTGCGGGCATGCAAATGCCATGCACGCTTTGGCCCTCGCAGGACCATGCGATACGCATGAGTGCCAGTTGAGCCAAGGTTTCGAAGCATGCGATGTAACGTTGGGCTTCTTTAGTGAGGCATGGCCATTGTTCTTGGCCTTCCTGGAATTGCCACGTCTCTGCGAACCAAGAAACGGAGTTGCTGGAGATGAACCAACCCCCTATGCCCACTATACTGCCCTCGGCGCAGGCATCCGCGGCTGCTTTGCATGCCAGCATTGGCTTGCTTCTTAGCGGGCATGCGAGGTCTAGATGGAAGCATTGCAGCAACCATTCTACGCTCTGTTTGCTCATCTTGGACAGGCGAGTGTGCTCTGCGGAAGCGTCCGCTACGCGCACCCAGGCGGATTTGTGGCTAGGCACAACGCGAGGCAGGTCGGCTGGCGTGCGAATGCATGCCCCTTGGAACTCTAGAACTTTAGAGCCTGGTGGCATAAAAATGCCGTGCACTGCTGACCTGAGCACGGCTTTGGCGTCTAATGCTGAAAGGAAGGATGGCCACAGACGCGCATGGACAGAGATCATGCAACCCGGCGGCGAGCGCAAGTCTGTGTACAAAGGTGCCAGCCAGGATCTGAGTTCGGGGCTCAGACTGGTAGCCCAAATGAGAAGGCCTAGAACCTGCTCCAAAAGATTTCGCTTGACCTTCCCTGCTTTGAGCAGCTCGTGCAGCTGTCCTTTCAATTTTATGGTTTTTTCTGGCGTGAGTTCGATGGTCTCGTGCAGGAAATTAATGCGCCACCCACACCACGTGAGGCTATTTTGAAATTGAACCTTCTTCCAGGATATCGGGGCCGATATTGCTGCAAAAAACATGACCATGAGGGCCAGCTGTGCGTCCGCGTCACTGCGACGCAGTGCTGCCAAAAGGTCATCCACGAACAACCATGCGCGACGCGGGCGCAGTCCCAAAATGCCGTGCAGTAGCCTCAGGAGGAATGCTCCGGCGCGCTGCCACCAGTATGCGGAGAAGCGTGCTCCGAAGTGGCAAACCCTTTCATGGTACCGGCAACCCGAAACAGGAGCAGGCCATGTTCACTGGGGCGCACCTGGATCTGCTTATGTGCCGCTTTGAAATCAAAGCTTGCCCCCACAAAGGACGAGCGCGTGTCCTCGGGGAGGAATGCTAAGCGCACGTCTGAGGCCATTGGCAGGCTGATGCGTTCTGGAATGGCGCACTTGGGGTTCACCCCACACACTGTGCTGTCTAGGACTAGTCGTGGGTCTTTGCCTTCAGCATGCACGACGTTGAGCTTCCCAACTGCTATGCCTTTATGCCAATGCTGTCTGGCTTGTTCGATGGACATGCCGGTACGAATGACCCATCCGTTTGCGATTTCCTTTTCTAGCAAGGCGGACACTGTTTCTGGTTCCGCTTCAGCGGCTTTCCAGTTGCCGATGCGCTCGGTGAGCTCACAAGGGAGGTCCGCTTGAGGCTTAGGCGGC